CAACTTATACTTCGTGATACAGAACATGTGTATACTGCCGGGGGTTCTGATTTTACTTAATTATGTGGAACCAATAAAATTTCCATTAACTAATGTAAGTTCAAAAAACTACAATAAAATTGTATGTTAATTTCATACGAGGGCTTTACAAAATATTTAACCTTAAACGCGGAAAGAAAACAGCAAATTGTCAAACGAAGAAAACACCTCGAAATTAGTGTCATTTTTCGTTGTTGTCTGTATCATTTTCAAAAAGGCAAGGTTGCAGACAGGGTAATACTATCTAGGTTAAAAGAAGAGTTTGAAACAAGTAATAAGGCTGACCGAATACATCAAAGAGATTCAATCCGAGGAAATACACTGCTAATGCATTATTAGAGGCCAGGCACGAGGACTCATCCACAAAATGAGCCAACTTGGATACAACAAGGCAATGACATGCCTTCTGTCATCGTACCTAGCCAACAGAATGTTCAAATAGGACACGTCATGTCTGAAGTAGGAATAAATGATGCTGGAGTGCCGCCGGGGGGAGTACTGGTTCCCTTTCTGTAGACCATCTAGACCGTGGACATACCAAACACGCCGCGAACCATGCTCTATCTATAAAGTTTGCTGATGACACAGCAATAGCCACGAGAAATCTGGATCCAAGTCTAGCAAAAAGAAGCCTACAACATGCGCTAAATCAGTTGGGAAATTGGTGCATTCAGTCGAAAATTTTAGTAAACCCAGAAGTCCAGACCGTCAAGTAGTATGTTCATACATACTACTTGACAGTTCATACATGTTCAACACACAAATACAATGGCCCAACCTGGCAAAATACTTTTGAGAGTGCTAATGGACAAAATAATGACACACACATCACATGTGAACAGCGCTATCACCCAAAGGAAGGAGAAGCAGGTTAAGACCTCTTATCGAAAGAAATAGCAAGTTAGGCCTGAAAACGAAGTTAAGAATGACAAACAGAATCACAATACCAGCCCTAACATATGGATCAGTAGCTTGTGACCAAACCTTTAAAAACAAGAGGAAGAAGATCCAAATACCCCACAACCATATTATAAGGGAGGCTATGAACATCCGCACATGTTTCCGAAAGGTTTGTATACAGAGAAACCAAAGAGGTAATGATCCTAGATAAAATAAACGAAAAAGCGTGTGTAACCTTCAACAAACTAAACATTCCGAATAAAAATCAAATTCGTCAAGGAACTCTGGATGAACTTAGATGAAAATAAACCAGCAAGGCACAGAAGACTTAAACACCAATAATTAGTACCTTATCCAGGGAGGACGTTCTACACGAGGCCGTGACCTCTTTGATCTTCGGACATGAGAACACCTTACTCCGGGAATCCCATATCCCCTGTAGCTGGGATTTACTTTGTTATGTGTGTTTAGCTTCTTCAATAGTAGAGAGGCTGTTAGGTCACTGTAACCAGAGACGAAAGCTATCTTCGTGCTGTTCTATCGGGACAAAGGATCCGGTAGTAGGAAAATCTCTTAACCGCACCTTTGGGAGCGTTACTGCAAATGCGACAATCCGCTGAAAGTCAGCCGCTGTCAAATTTACTAAGGGTACTTTATTGCCGCTGAATGAACTTAGCGGTGCTTGGGCATGCGTGGTACGCAATATAGTTTTAATTTTTTAAAGTTTTTAAAATAAAAATTTCGACTGATATAAAAATTGGATTTACGATGAAATAATGGAAGTACAGTTTGGTACTGAACGAGAATATTTTTTTTATAGAAGTATTTACATAAACATGAAATGAAGTGTTGAGACAAATGCTTTCAGGCGGTTTTTGTCTGCTGGATCCAAGCCGGTGGTTACAACCACAAAGCTACTAGCAAGAAAGGTTTTGTGCTTAAAGTCAGCCGCTGGGATCGTGTGAAATCACCCTTTGATGATGCGAAGCAGTTGTGCAAAATAACAAATAGTGTACTTCTTCGATGAATGAACAAAGAATGGGAGTTGTTGATCACCATCAAGAGAAGAAAGTTGGAATATCTTGGTCATGTGTTAAGAGAAAAAAGTACCGATTGCTAAAGTTGATTATCCAAGGAAAGATTCAGGGCAAACGAAGCGTGGGGAGAAGACGTATATCTTTGGCTGCGCAATTTAAGAGACTGGTTCCAGTGCACATCTAACCAATTATTTCAAGCAAAAGCTTCAAAGATAGAATAGCAATGATGATTGCCAAACTCCGTAGCGGAGAAGGCAGTTGTAGATGAAAAGTCAAGAAAAATAAAAATTTTAGACCCCACCAAATAAATCCCTAGAATATAACCATTATAGTATTGGTACATGTTCATGTTGAAATGAGTTCAGTACGTCAGCAGAAGATTTCCTCGTTTTTGCTGACTGATGTAATTTTTGCTGTGCATGCTTTTTTGTTCGTCGTATTCCAGTAAATTCTTTCAATAATTAACCCCCATAAATTAAAGAAAATGACAGACCGGCAACTCAAAAGACCAGTCAAATGTGACTATATATAAGGCAACTAGTATCATTATAAAATCTTATATTGCGACAGTAAAATCATAAAAAAATTTAATATTTTGTTAAAAAATACTCTGGTAAAACCCAGATCAGTTTTTTTCCTACCTGAGTAGTCTACTGACAAAAAATAATCACATTAAAAAGCGAAAGATCATATATATTTACAGAAATTAAAATAGCAAATCCAATAATTTATCTTTTAAAGTAAGTTTTAGTATATTTGTTCGAAAAAAGAAATAGCAATAAATGGTGAGCTTCTATAGCACATATAAAGAAAAATTCTAGCAGCATTAATATAAGTTCAATGAATCTTAGCAGACAAGAACTGAAGACCATTAAAATGGCCTTTAAATGAATATTGTCAATGAAACTGAGGAAGCACGTCTAAAATATGGATAGGGTGAAGTTTGGTACAGGAAATACGAAATGAAGGAATAAATTCCCATACTTGTCCTTTGCAAAGAGAAAATTCTTGACATGAGGCGGGTATAAACTGGTGAAACAAGTATTAAGGAAATTGATGATTTTTCTACATTTAAGGTGAACACATAAACACCAAGTAAGTAAATGTTAATAAAGAAGAAAGTTTTTAGTAAAGGAAAGTAAGTTCCTCAGTAAAATAAAAACTAACGAAAGGAAGAGCACAAACATTCAAATAATATCCAGGTAAAGATGGGAAAAGTACTATGGGGAACTACTGACAGAAAATAGGGACGAATACTTAACTCAATCGCCAACAGAACTATCGAACATCACATTAGAAAATAACGAAATCATCATGTCCTGCGACCATTACACATACCTAAGAATCGTTTTTGACACAACGGGGAAAGATGATGAAGAAATAAAAAGAAGAATAACCCAATCCAGAAAAACAATAGGTTGTCTAAACAGCGTACTGTGGACTCATGAAATAGGAAAAAGAAGAAAACACAATATCTACGAATCTCTTACTAAAAGCAGTATATTGTATGAAGCAGAAACTTGGCGAATACCCGAAAACAACAGAACTCTCACTTCAGTAAGATTCAAATGCTCGGGTGTTATTTTGTCCATTGTCTTAGGACACTGTCGAAAACCACTTAATAATCTACTGGATGAAATGAAAATATGCTTGATTTGAAAATTTGACTTAATTTGACGTCTTTTTTACCTCTGAAATTGTCAAATACATTTTCGATTAAAATTGTGATTTATTCCTTTTAAAAAACTACGTAATATAAAAATGTCACCAAAAAGGGCAGATAGTAGCCCGATATTGAGCAGAAAAACTGTAGTCGGATCCAGACTCGAAAAATAAAGTAAGTCACCAAAAAGACTCAGGACTACAGGCCATTTTGATGAAATTTAAGTAAATGACAAGGTTTGGTAGGTACAAAGATTTCTAACCGAGTGCCATAGAGACAATTTAAGAAGAATTAACTAATGCATTAGTGAAGATCATATCATCTATTTGGAAAATCGTTACAGAAAATTTTTGGAAAAGAAGTGGAAAAAAATAATTGCAATAAACACACAATACATGAGATGCCGGCGAGATTTTATAATATTTGACGCAAATCCGTTAATTCTCTCTTAATATGTTGAGTTTTTCTATATTAGTTCCAAAACACAACGAAATTACTTATGAAAGTGAAAGGAATTTTTGCGGTAACACCCCTTCATATAAATAAATAGGCAACAAAAGATCGTCTGGAACTAGGTATAGTATTGACTGATAAAGATGTTTATATAAATAAAGTACTTAATTTTCTTAATGTCATTTACTAGGATTACAAATATTAAACAGGGAATCTACAGGGAACTAAACCAACACAAATTCGACAACAAAATTATATAACCTCGACATCAGCTGTTAGTGAACGACCGGGGTTGGCATGTAACTTTCGATTTCCACCCTAACAGCAAACAAAAGATTTCTGTAATTGGGAAAGGGATTATTTAACGGCATTTTCTAGCTGCTTATGTTTCTGATTAATTTGTCTAAAACATAATCAACGAAAGCAAAAGTGCAAATCAAGAAACAGAGGGGAATAGAATATAAACAAAAGGTTTTTTAAAAAAAGGGCAAGATGGCGGACATACTAAAACTACCCTTACGTTACTTTCGATATATTTTGATGTATTACTTAGGTAATACAACTTAATTCGTTGGCAATAGGTAGTAAATAAAATCATGTAATTTTTACGTACTACCCCCATGAGTTTTCGCTATTAATTGGTAGTTAAAATGTAAAATGAACGAACAAAGAAAAATGCTTATGTATAACTAAAAATAAGGTCAAATTACCTAAATATTATCTTTAAAGTTCCTATTTGACAAGCAGGAATATATTTTCTTTGAAAACGAAAAATTTAAATTAAACCGTAAGGTATTTTTAAGTGAAAAATTGTGGATGAAGCAGTTTTTGCAAAGACCGGTTCATTTTAATATATCTGTGCCATTAGAAAATCATCGCAATGTATTATTTAACAACAAAAAACTTACCTTGTCGTAATCTAGGGTAACTGGTGGAAGAGCATCGGTGTCCTTCTGGCACAAATGCTGGTTGCAAAATTTCAGGCAGAAGTTGTGGAAGCAAGCGTGACAATCTGGAGAACATGAAAAACCACAATTACAACAACAGGTCATCTCACAAGAGCACAAGAGATTGTGGAACGAAAGGATTCGAGCGCAATATTCTAAACTATCTTCAGAAGGACCAAATCCAGCAAAGAGATCCTTTTCACGAATTTTGCTGTTCTGTCCCATGGCAGATGATTCCTGATGGCTTGATTCTCCATCAGAAGAAGAACTTTCAGATGAAACAATAGTCATAGGAGCCGGCCGGCCAATTCCTCTTAACATATAATTTTCGGTGTCCACAGGTAATAAATTTGTAAATTTTGCATCCAATGGCTTTTTTGACATTTTGCTAATACCAGGTTCGCTGTCTCCGCTTCCTTCGTTTACACTCATCTTTATTTTTCATTTATTTCAAGTTTAATATTCAACAACTCTCAATTCACATTCACGTCGACACTCCACAGCTTCACACTTCAGACTACCGGGTGGTAGGCAACACGGCACTCGGAACTGGCCTAACTCGCGTTACGAACTAACAGAATATGAGACATGCGTACTAGACGCTAAGCATCATGCTGTGGATACAGCCGCGCGCCCCGCAATCCGCACTTCGCCGACATTTGTTCCCAAGAGGCAGATAGCCTCACGTCATTATTTTATATAAAACCGGTCTTTCAATCCAAACCTCTTGTGCTCTCTCTTTCTCTTACTTAAAAACTAATGTATGATTTCAAGGTGTACTAAATCCCTTAAAATTATATCTCTTACTTTATTTGTACTTATAAAACATTTCTTTAAAGTAATACATATAAGTATTATACTAAAATAATTATCGTTAACTAAAAATCGTTTATAAAAACTTATCACAAGTAATTTCAAAAAACTATAGCAAAACGAACTAATTTAACTGGTTTTTCTTGATTTTTGTTTTTTTTAACAATTAGAACTTATCTATATTTAACAAAATGTTCCACTTTTTTTATTTAAAAACACAAATAGGACATTACTTTTTTTAAATGAAGGTAATGTATTAAATGTAACTACATCTAAATAATTACTAACCATTTTGTGCCATCACATAATTAAAATTAATCTTGCAATCTCAATAAAAAACAGATACTTGCATTGGACCAGGGCAATAAGATTTTTTCGTGACACTGACCCGGTCAGGCAAACAATAGTTGTTTTGAGTAGCATGGACTTCTATAGCAAAAACCTATGTATATGTCTCCTGCAGTCGATTTTTTCGGTCTTAATTAGATATTAACAAAGTGAGGTCAAAAAACGGTAACACTGAAAAAGTGAACATAAAATGTTAAGTTTTTTTGTCTATCCGCAAAAAGTGAAGTATATCAACACCAAGGAATAGTTAAAAGAAGAAAGGTTTTTAGTAAGGGAAAGTAACTTAAAACTGTAGAAAACAAGACAAGAACTCCAGCAAGATTCAAATGCTCGAGAGTTATTTTGTTCATTAACTAGTAAGTATATCAAAACCTTCAAAATGGTTTTTTTTAATGTTTTATCCTTATTTGTTGCTTGGAAACTTGCAAAATAATTAAGAAATTTCTGTTTTATATAAATGTTAATAACTTATTTAACAATGAACTTAGAACCATTATATTACATAGAATGTTGGATCTTAGTGCCTTAAATATGATCAAAATTTCAAAGCGATCGGTTAAATTGTTTAAAAGTTATTTTTTTGTTTATCCCAAATTAATTTTTTTTGGAAGTAAGAGAATAATGAAGACCGTAACTCTGCGTATATCTTATGAAAGAAGGATTATTTTATCAACATTATTAAAAAAAATAAAGAAAAAGGATTTTAAATATTGTAGAATCGTTTTTAAAAAATATAAATATATATATATATATATATATATATATATATATATATATATATAGATTTTTTGCTTATAAACAATTACAATAACTTTTAAACTATTACCTGCAGGAAAATTATTTTTTTATTTGAAAAGCTTGTATTTTTCTACAAATTTAAAAAAGAAAATGTTGTTAGGACAATTTGGAAGGAATTTAGTCCTTTTTTTTTAATTGGCAACAGCTTTGTTGATATTAATTAAAAGACCTAATTAGCGTCATTTAAAAGAACATACTGAAAAGTTTTAAGTACTAAAATTATTCGTTTATAAAAAAGTAATTTCAAAAAACTATAGCAAAACAAACTAATTTAACAGGTTTTTCTTGATTTTTGTTTTTTTAACAATTAGAACTTATCAATAATTAACAAAATGTTCCACTTTTTTTATTTAAAAATACAAATAGAACATTACTCTTTTTAAATGAAGGTATTAATGTATTCATACATCTATATAATTACTAAGCATTTTGTGCCGTCAAATAATTATTAAAATGAAGCTTGCAATCTCAATAAAAAGCAGACACTTGCATTGGACCAGGGAAATAAGAGTTTTTTCATGACACTGACCCGGCCAGGCAAAGAATAGTTGTTTTGACTACCATGGACTTCTATAGCAAGAACCTATGTATATGTTTCCTGCAGTCGATTTTTTCGGACTAAATTAGTTATTAACAAAGTAAGGTCAAAAAACGGTAACACTGAAAAAGTGAACATAATATGTTCACTTTTTTCGTCTATCCGCAAAAAGTGAAGTATATCAACACCAAGGAATTGATAATAAAGACGAAAGGTTTTTGTTAAGGGAAAGCAACTCAAAACTATAGAAAACAAGACAAGAACTTCAGTAAGATTCAAATGCTCGAGAGTTATTTTGCTCATTGCCTAGTAAGTATATCAAAACCTTCAAAATGGTGTTTTTTTAAATGTTTTATTTTTCTTTGTTGCTTAGAAACTTGCAAAATATGTCAGGAATTTCTGTTTTTTTATAAATGTTAATAACTTATTTAACAATGAACATAGAACCTTTATATTACATAGAATGTTGGATCTTATAGTGTCTAAAATATATCATCAACATTCCAAAGCGATCGGTTAAATTGTTTAAAAGTTATTTTATTTGTTTATCCCAAATTAAATTTTTTTGGAAGTAAGAACATGATGAAATTACCGTAACTCAGCGTATATCTTATGAAAGAAGGATAATTTTATCAACATTATTAAAAAAAATGAAGAAAAAGGATTTTAAATATTGTAGAATCGTTTAAAAAAATATATAGAGTTTTTGCTTAAAATCAATTACAATAACTTTTAAACTATTGCTTGCAGGAAAATTATTTTTTTATATTTGAAAAGCTTGCATTTTTCTACAAATTTAAAAAAGAAAATGTTGTTGGGAAAATTTAGCAGGAAGTTAGTCCTTTTTTTTAATTGGCAGCAGCTTTGTTGATATCAATTAAAAGACCTAATTAGCGTCATTTAAAAGAACATACTGAAAAGTTTTAAGTACTAAAATTATTCGTTTATAAAAAAGTAATTTCAAAAAACTATAGCAAAACAAACTAATTTAACAGGTTTTTCTTGATTTTTGTTTTTTTTTAACAATTAGAACTTATCAATAATTAACAAAATGTTCCACTTTTTTTATTTAAAAATACAAATAGGACATTACTCTTTTTAAATGAAGGTATTAATGTATTCATACATCTATATAATTACTAAGCATTTTGTGCAGTCAAATAATTAAAATGAAACTTGCAATCTCAATAAAAAGCAGAGACACTTGCATTGGACCAGGGAAATAAGATTTTTTTCATGACACTAACCCGGCCAAGCAAACAATAGTTGTTTTGAGTAGCATGGACCTCTATAGCAAGAACGTATGTATATGTTTCCTGTAGTCGATTTTTTCGGACTTAATAAGTTATTAACAAAGTAATGTCAAAAAACGGTAACACTGAAAAAGTGAACATAAAATGTTAACTTTTTTCGTCTATCCGCAAAAAGTGAAGTATATTAACACCAAGGAATTGATAATAAAGACAAAAGGTTTTTAGAAGGGAAAGCAACTCAAAACTATAGAAAACAAGAAGAACTTCAGTAAGATTCAAATGCTCGATAGTTATTTTGTTCATTGCCTAGTAAATATATCAAAACCTTCAAAATGTGTTTTTTTTTAATGTTTTATTTTTAATTGTTGCTTAGAAACTTGCAAAATAAGTCAGAAATTCATAGAATTTCTGAACTTCATATTACATAGAATGTTGGATCTTATAGTGCCTAAAATAATAATCAAAATTTCAAAGCGATCAGTTATATTATTTAACAGTTATTTTATGTTTATCCCAAATTAAATTTTTTGGAAGTAAGAAAATGATGAAGTTGCCGTAACTCAGCGTATATCTTATGAAAGAAGGATTATTTTATCAACACTATGAAAAAAAAAAATGAAGAAAAAGCATTTTATATTGTAGATTCGTTTGAAAAAATATATAGAGTTTTTGCTTATAACCAATTACAATAACTTTTAAACTATTGCCTGTAGGAAAATTATTTTTTATATTTGAAAATCTTGCATTTTTCTACAAATTTAAAAAGAAAATGTTGTTCTAGGACCATTTGGGAAGAAGTTTGTTGATATCAATTAAGAGACCTAATTAGCGTCATTTAAAAGAACATACTGAAAAGTTTTAATGTGCAAAATTCGACAAAGATTGTCTTTTAATTAAATATTCCACAAAGCTTCAAGATGTGTCCTCAAAATAGACCAGCTTTGAAACTCGCGGCAGCAGTTATAGGGGGAAGGAGCTGTTAACTGTATCTCTGGTTATTGTTTATGGATTTCGATGTTTCTTTTTTTAATTAGTACGTACTTTATGCTTACATTCATCATCATCATCACTGGCTCGACAACCCTTTTTGGGTCTTGGCCTGTTCCAGGATTCTTCTCCAATCTGATCTATTTTGTGTTTTTTTCTCCAGTTTTTTATTTTTAAGGTTGTTATATCATTTTCTATTTGTTCTAAGTATCTCAGCTTCGGTCTTCCTCTTGTTATATTTCCTACTGACATCTGTTTGAATATTTTGTTTGGTATTTCGCCTTCTTCCATTCTTTCTACATGTCCTATCCAACGCAGCAATATTTAT